CCCCCTCCCTTCCCCCACTCCCCTATCCTCCTTCCTCTCCCCTCCCTTCCTTTTCCCCTCCTCTCCTTTCCCCCCCTCCCTCCCTCCCTCTCCCTAACCCCTCCTCCACCACCCCCATCACCCCTACCCCCCCCTTCGCCTCCCTCGTTCCCTCTTTGCCACACCAACACACACCCCTCCCTTAACGCCTCCTCCTCCACCCCCACCCCCTCTACCCCCATCCACCCCCTCCGCCCCCTTGCTCCCACGGCACCACACCAACACAAACCCCTCCCCCTTCCCTCCTTCCTCCCCCTCCCCTAACCCTTCCCCCTCCACCCCACCCACCAACACACACACCTCTCTCTCCCCCCCCTTCCACCCCTTCCCCTTCCCCCTCCACCCCACCCCACAACACACACCCTCTCTCTCCCCTCCCCTCCTTCCACCCCCTCCCCTAACCCCACCCCTTCCACCCCCTCCCCCTCCACCCCCATGAAAAGGCGCGAGTGACCCTCCACAGCGAACCGACCAACCAGCAGCCACACCCAAGTGCCACGGAGGGCGATGCCGATGCCAGACGCCGAGGGTGGCACTGCCGCTGCTGCTGGAGGTGCCAGGCGCCGTCTCGTCTGGGAAGGGCGGCGGTGCAGGAGGCGCGGGAGGGGAATCCAGCGGTTCTTGGGAAGGGAAGGGCGTTGGGGCGAATGAGGCTGATGGTGAGGGTGATGGTGATGATGATGGTGATAATTGTGATGATGATTATAATGATAGCGTTGGCGAATGATGGTGATGATGTGATTGTGATGATTATAATGATAGCGTTGGGGCGAATGAATGATGTGATGATGATGATGATGATGATGATGATGGTGATAATTGTGATGATGATGATTGATGATGATTATAATGATAGCGTTGGGGCGAATGAGGGTGATGGTGGTGGTGATGGTGATGGTATTGGTGATGATGATGGTGATGATGATTGTGATGATGATTGCGATGATGATTATAATGATGATAGCCATAGTGTTATTAACAATGAAGATAGTGTTGGGGCGAATGAGGGTGATGATGGTGATGATAGTGATGATAATTATAATGATGATAGCCATAGTATTATTAATGATGATAAGAGCGTTGGGGCGAATGAGGGTGATGGTGATGACGATGGTGATGATGATTATAATGATGAATACATTAATGATTATAATGATGATAGCAGTAGTATTATTAACAATGATGACAAGAGTGTTGGGGCGAAGGAGGGTGATGGTGATGCTTGCGAGAGTTATAATTATTAAAATTATAGCAGTAGTATTGTTAACAGTGATGATAAGGGCGTTAGGGCGAATGATGATGGTGATGATGATTGTGATGATGATTATAATGATGATAGCAGTAGTATTATTAACAGTGATGATAATGATAAGAGTAATAATACTAATAGTAATAGTAGTAATAATTGTGATAATAGTAGTGATGACTATCATAACAACATTGATAGTAACAATAATTATAATAATAATAATAATAATGACTAAAGATATTAACAATAGCAACAGAATGATAACAAAGAAAAAGATAATGATAATGATGATAATACCAATAACAATAATAGTAATGATTATAATGACAGTAAGGATAATAATCACGATACAGACGTGCCATGAGGAAGAGAAAGGTGTTTTTTTTTTTTTTTTTTTTTTTTTTTTTTTTTTTTTTTTTTTGGTGGGGAGGTGGCAGGAAACATGCTGGGAAGAACTGAAGGTGAGTGAGGTTCTGGAGGGTTAGGGAATGGGAAGCTCGGCGGAAGGGGGGGGGAGGAGGATAGTGTAGGAAAAATACTGCCATGGGAGTTCAGTGAGTGTGGTGTGGAGGTGAAACGAAGAGGAGAGAGATTAGTGACTGCAAGGGTGTAACGAGGTGAACTGGGGGTGAATATTATGAGTGTCTATACCACCCAGTTTAGGCGGAAAGGAGAGGAAAATAATAGTAATTACAATGATGATGATAATAATAACACCTTGTTAGAAACTGCTAAAGGGAGAATTGGAAGCTGATGGAATGTGAAGAGGCGAAATGGAGACCGAAATGGATATGTTAGATAGAGAAAATGGAGGAATAGAGAGACTTCGTGGGGGACACAGATACGGAGAAAACACTGGGGAAGAAGTAATGCTGGCCTTGGCTTGTTAGATTTCCCCGTGGAGGAGAAACACCACAAATAGACTATTCAACTTATAGAAGACGGCACTTGAGTGAAAGTACAATTTAACACTGGAAGACCAAATGGCATCACATCACTGTTTGCAATAGATGCGAAGTTGAAGAACGTGAGAAAGAACAGTGAAGAATATTTTCAGAAAATGGAGAGGAAGTAAACTAAAGAAAGGATAAATTAGCAGATAGTTAATGAACAGGGCACTAAATGAGATGGATATAAGAGGAAGGGGAGCTGCAGAAATGATGACAGCGTGGTGTAAAGGTAATGAGATGATTGGGAAATGAAATATTTGGAAAGACAGTGGAACAGAAACAGAATCATATCAGGGGGTCCATGAAGAGCTTGAAAACCGGTGAGGAACATAGGAATATAGATTTATTAGAAGTTGAAATGAAGTAGAGTAAATCAGAGAAGGCTGTGTGGAGACTAGATAGAAAGAGCAACAAGAAAAGCTACAGAATTATAAAAAACTCATTTTTTCTACTTGTTTTCTCTACATCATTATAAAATGGATGCAGGTGTTACGAGCTTTTGGTGAAAGGCAGAGTAATGAAGCCCCAAAACCAGGGGAAAAGCCGATAGAGGCGTGGAAGGCATGAGAGAGCAGGGAACAGATATGTTATGGGACTCAATGGGAACAATATAAGGCCAAGAGCTGCTCACGGAAGCGTGGTGTTACAATAAATTATTCCCAAACTTCAAGCACTTACTTTTAAACGCTATAGATATTTTAAAAATTTAATCCCACAAGGTATTCACCGCTAATGGCCTTAGCTGTTGACGCGGCAGATTTTAAATAATCAAATCAAATCAAGATTCAAGCAGATAGGTGGTGTACAAAGTTGCAGAAATTCTTAAGAAAACAAGGTATACTCAAACACCAAAAAGTGGGAAAGAATTAAGGAAGAAGCGGTAGAACAGCTTGGATTTACACCTCGGAAAGGGTTTAAGCACTTTTTTTTGAGTCAGCTGCTGAAAAAAAAAACATTGCTATTTGGCTCTTTCTAATCTTAATGAGCTTTTTGACAAGAATCCTCAACAAAAAGTGTGGGAATTTCTGGGAAGAAATCAGACAGATCAAAGGAGTTAGAGAAAGATATAAATGAATAAGGACTCAGTACCTTGTTAGGGAGTAATGAGCAGCTGAGACGTTAATGCTAGACAACATTAATTATCAACGTTGTGCCCAGTCCCCTTTCAATGTACTTTTTTTCAAGCCCTTGTGAAGGAGGTTCGAGAAAGAGCACGGTGTTGTATGGTGTGTGCTGATGACGGTAATGTGTGATGAGACAGTGAAAAAGTGAAACAAAGGTTGGAAGAGTGAAAGTAGAATATGTAGGTATAAAGAATATTATAGTTATCAATGCTATTGTTATTATTACTATTATTACTATTATTGTTATGATGATTATTATCATTATCATTATTGTCGTGGTTGTTATCATCATTATTATTGATACTATCATCATTTTTTATTATAATTCTTGTTATTATGCTGTTATCTTTATTATTATTTATCATTATCATATCATT